AAAAAAAAAAAAAAGAGACCAAATGTCATGCCCTGCCCTCATACGGGCTCACATTCTAATACCACCTTGCATTGAAACTGTCCCTGTCTCCTATCACAAGTATGAGCCACAACTTACTCAGCTCCAGGGCCTAGGACAGAGACTGGCATAGAATGTAGGTGCCAGATGTAACAGAGTGCAGCTGAACAGCCCATCACAAGAATGTGAGCTCTGGATCACAGCTGTTCATCCTCCTTCCCATCTCTTTACAATCCCACCCTATATAGTTACTTAAAAATTTCTCCTTCACTAGATGAGTCCTTTCTCTACAATGTCCTCTGAAGTATGTTTCCTTGGCTAGAGAGTTGCAAGTGTCTATACTGTAGGGCCCTTATCACCATCTCCCTTGTCATCTGACACACTGAAACAACACTTTTAACCAAGTTCTATTGTCATAGAATTCAGCTGTTTGCTACCTTGCTCCTGCAGTATCTTGCTGCCAGTAGTTAAGAGGCATCCCCATCCACAAGACAGAAGAAAGCAAGAAAGAATGAGAACAAACAGGAAGTGCCTCATGAAAGAAACATCAGGGAACTTTCTTCTTTGCCTCTTCAAAATAGATGGAGTCTCACTCTGTCACCCAGGCTGGAGTGCAGTGGCACGATCATAGCTCACTGCAACGTCAAACTCCTAGCCTCAAGGATCCTCCTGCCTCAGCCTCCTGAGCAGTTAGGACTACAGGTATGTGCCACCACACTCAGCTAATTTTTGTTTGTTTTGTAGAGACGGGGTCTTGGTATGTTGCCCAGGCAGGTCTTGAACTTTTGCGCACGGAAGTGATCCTCCCCCCTCAGGCTTCTGAGTAGTTGGGATTATAGACAGGAGCTACAGCACCCGGCTCAGTGGGATCTTTATATGTTGAGCTGTTTCCTTTCAAAACTAACATTTTCTTTTTTTGAGACAGTCTCACTCTGTCACCTAGGCTGAAGTGCAGTGATGTGATCTCGGCTCACTGCAACCTCCGCCTCCTCGGTTCAAGCGATTCTTGTGCCTCAGCCACCAGAGTAGCTGGGATTACAGGTACGTGCCCCAAGCCCAGATAATTTTTTTATTTTTAGTAGGGATGGGGTTTCACCATCTTGGCCAGGCTGGTCTTGAATTCCTGGCCTCAAGTGATCCGCCCACCTTGGCCTCCCAAAGTGCTGGGATTACAGGTGTGAGCCATGGCACCTGGTCCCAAAACTAACATTTTCTAAGGTATTGTTGCTGTTTCCTACAAATTACCTTCATATCCACTCTCTTATTTGACTCTTTCAAGGATGCTGTGAGGTAAGTAGATAGGTCAAGTTAGTGACCCTTTCCCCACGGGCTCCATCCAGAACTAACCAAATTGATCCTGCTGGGAACATCCTTGGAATAAGTAGAGCTGTAAAGTCCTAGGGCTGTGCCTTCTTTGTCCATCAGCTTTAACCTACGAGAGTTAGGTTTGCTACGACTGCCTGCAATTCAGAGGCATCAACTATACACAGCAAAAGCTTGGCACTGGTCCATGCTGGCCTCTGAGGAGTGCCAGTCCTCCTAGCTGAAGCTGAAGTGTGAGGAGACAGGGCTATTACAACTATTTAAAAACAACACACAAACAAAACCAAAAGAAAAAAAAATACAAAAAAATTTTATTTACAGTTGAAAACTTAAAGACAATCTTGGATTCTGAATCTCTGACACTTCCATGGTCTCTTGATCAAATGGGGCAGCAGCAGGCAGGGAAGCAAACACGAGGGCCACTCCAGATTATCTTACTCAAGACCACCACCAAGAAGAAGGGAAGGCCTACAATGGCAGAGACATGGAGGTCAATGTGGGATGGGGAGGTAAGCACCTCAGAGCAACTGGAAGGGGACATCCCATATGAGACAATGCTCCCAGCTGTTCCTTTTTTTTTTTTGAGACAGAGTCCCTTTCTGTTGCTCAGGCTGGAGTGCAGTGGCACGATCTCAGCTCACTGCAACCTCTGCCTCCCAGGTTCAAGCAATTCTCCTACCTCAGCCTCCCGAGTAGCTGGGACTACAGGCACACGCCACCACACCCACACACCCAGTCAATTTTTGTATTTTTAGTAGAGACGGGGGTCTCACCATATTGACCAAGCTGGTCTTGAACTCTCGACCTTGTGATCTGCCTGCCTTGGCTTCCCAAAGTGCTGGGATTACAGGCATGAGCCACCGTGCCCGGCCACTCCCAGCTATTCTCTGCACTCCCAATCCTCTTTTCCCAGAAGGGTAGAACAGGTCAGAGTCTCACCATAGGTCAGACCTTTGGGTCCCCAGAGCAAAGTTGGGCAGTAAATTACAAAAGAACCAGGAAGAAAGCAACTAACATTTATGGTCAAGCATACTGTCTCATTTATTTGCCCTTCACAACTCCATGCATTATATATTATCTAATTATGCAAAGGAGTAGGGTCCCAAGGGGTTTCACGGCTTGACTAAAGTCACAGAATTAGACAGTGGTGGGGCTTCCTGGTCTACTTGGCTCCAAAGCCTTTGTTCTTTTTGTCAGGCTCTGATGGCTCTCTGTGGAGGTCCAGAACAAAAAGTAATCCTTCTTCCTTGCAGGTTTCGGTCCCAGAGGTAAGAGAAAGGGCAGTCCACATTCTCGGTTTATAGCCTTGAAGTCGAGCAAGCTATACTAAGAGAACAGGGTAAGTACACTCAGATACTATTGTCCCCCTCCTCCTGCCATTCCTCAGACATGCCACACCTTGCTCCAATGGACAATGAGTGCTGGCATCGATCATACTGTAGGCACAGACTGATGTTTAATTGTGGGCCCTCAAGCAAAATGTATGAAAATGCACAAATGTACTTTGTAAGCTGCATGGTGTGCCAAGACCTAAGCTCTGTCAGACCAAGCACTATGTTAGTCAGCATGATCTCAGTCCAGGGAAAAACAGACCGACACATTTGTGATACAGTGTGTTAAATGCCACAGTGGAGAGATGAACCAAGTGCTGCGGGAGCACCCAGGTGGGAACCACTGTCTGGGCTTAGACCTGGAAGAGGAGGTGGAGGGATCAGCGACGGATTCACAACTGATGTTAGCCACAGCTGTGGGCAGGCTCCTGGGAGGTGCTGGGAGGATTTAGGATTAGTTAAAACTACATATAAACAGTATGTATTTCTATTACAAGACACATGTTCGAGGTAGAAAATTCAAGCTTAAATAAGGCAACTGAAAAGTCTCTGCTATCTCTACTCTGCAGAAGTATTATCAACAGTCTGCTTTATATCACTGCAGAGATTCCTGAAAATCATTTAAAATAAACAGTAACATGCTTACATAAATTACTGCATCTTGACTGTCACTTAACTTACCTTAGAAATCTTGCCAACGCATCCAAATCTACCTCTTTGTTTTTATTAAGGCTGTATAGTATTCCATTGAAGAGAATGGAAACTCTATGTGTGTAAGACTTGGCTGCAATGCAAGAAGCTTTGCCTTTGTACTGGACTGGAATGGACTGGAGCCAGACATTCTCCCCTCCCCTGGCCTTTTCAGCTGGCAGAGCTTCTGCGTTTCAGGACAGGGAACAAACAGTGTCACATGCTCAGCAGGCACATAAACATTTGCTGCCAAATCTCCAGTGCTCCCCAGACCCATATTTTCATGTAAAATCTCTTTTCTCTTGCCTGGACTACTACGGCAGTGGACTCCTCACTGGCCTCCAGCCTGTCCTCCACAATGCTGCCAGAATCATCTTCTGAACATGAAAATTCAACTACAATATTCTGCTGAAAATCCTTCAGTGGTTCATATTGGTCTGATTCTTTTTTGGAGGGTCAGTGCCCCTTTTGAGAATCTCAGGAACACAATGGACTCCTTCCCCAGAGGGGAAAAATTACTTCATGCCTGAAAGTCAGCCCCTGCCCTCAGAATAACATACGAACTGCTAAGCTTGGCACTAGCTTTCACTACTGGCCCTGGCCTCTCTCCAACCTTCTTACTGTTTGCTTTTCATATTTTCCTGCTTCAGTCATATTGAATTATTTGCAGCTTCCTCTACACTTCCTGCTGTTTGCTGCCTTTGTGACTTTGCATAGGCTGTTCCCTCTGCCTGGAATGCCCTGCCCAGTTTTAGCCACCTGACAAGTTATATTCCTTCTTTACTAAACTGGAGCATCATCTCTTCTGTAGTCTACCCAACCACTCCGGCAAGATCCGGGCATGTATCTAAAACCTCCAATACAGGGCTTTATTGTACTGCAATTGTCAGTTCTCCCAAGAGACTGAGTTCCTTGAAGGAAGGAACTGGACTTTTCAAATCTGTAGCTTCGTATGCAGCATGGGACCGATCTTAATTCATCAGCGCTTAGTTGTGCAATGAATAGAGCCCAACTGCTACCAACACATCTTCCCTCATCTTCCCCCCGGGAATCTCGCATCTACAGGTAATTCCAGAATGAAAGACGGTGTTTCTAAACCTTAGTCATTCAGATAGCACCTTCACAACTGTTACAGTATCTATCATCCACAGGTACAATTTACTTTTTAAGCTAATCACTATTCGAACTTCAATATTGCCTTACTGTAAGCTGTAATAACTGTAAAATTATGTATTGTGCTAATTCTATATTTTTTCCTAAGATCCAAATATTAAAAGACAGTCATCCCAGCACTAACTAAAGTAGTGTTTCCCACACTCCTCTATTAAGAAGCACGTGAGATACTTGGTACAAACATAACATCCTGAGTCCCACCCCAAAGCCACATCAAACACTCCAGGGAAGGGATCTGGGAATTCGTAGGTTTAACAAGTGCCCCAAAATGATTATTATCTGTTGGAGAATCTAGGCAACAAAGAATTAATGAAAGCTCTCCACCACTTGATACTGGTACCAGGTTTGAGGATCACAGGGAAGGGGGGTAGCATATCAGACTAGCAGAGTTGCCAGAACTCAGGCTTTCAAAAGAGAGGTGCCACCCTCTCCCATGTATATGTAAGTAGCAAAGAACCCATTCCGACTACAGTAGGAGAATCCTGGGGGTAGAGGTTCATTTATGCTACACATATCCAAATTCATTATAAAAAGTTTTCCAAGGGCTGGACACGGTGGTTCATGCCTATAATTCCAACATTTTCGGAGGCTGAGGTGGGAAGATCGCTTGAGGCCAGGAGTTTGAGACCAGCCTGGACAACATGGTGAGACCCCATCTCTAAAAAGTTAGCTGGGTGTAGTGGTGCACGCCTATAATCCAAGCTACTAAGGAGGCTGAGGTGGGAGGATCACTTGAGCCAGGGAGGTCGAGGCTGCAGTGAGCTGTGACTGTGCCACTGCACTCCAGCCTGGGTGACAGAGTAAGACCCTGTCTAAAAAAAAAAAAAAAATCTCCCAGAACTCACTGAGATAAAACCAAGGTTTCTGTACCTAAAGTTGTACAGACCAGGCATGGTGGCTCATGCCTGTAATCCCAGCACTTTGGGAAGTCAAAGGCAGGCAGATCACATGAGGTCAGGAGTTTGAGACGAACCTGGCTAACATGGTGAAACCCTGTCTCTACTAAAACACAAAAAAAATTAGCCAGGCATGGTGGTGCATGCCTGTGATCCCAGCTATTCGGGAGGCTGAGGCATGAGAATCGTTTGAACCTGGGAGGCAGAGGTTGCAGTGAGCCGAGACTGTGTCACTGCACTCCAGCCTGGTCGACAGAGTGAGATTCTGTCTTAAAAAAAACAAAAAAAACGTTTTACACAAAACTTCATTTTCACTAAAACCAAAGTCAGAACCTAGGAAGGCAAAACACAAAGGTTCTGGAAAGAAGTGCTCCATAGGGAGGTAGAATTGATCAAGTGACCTGTCTTCTATCTCCTTCCTAGCTGTTTCACTGCATATGCCCAGTGCCTGGGCACAAGGCCTCAAATGCAGGATTAAGTGATACCTTGATGTGAATGCCATGGATTCCTGCTGGACTAGTGCCACCAAGAGATTACTTCCTCTTGGTCTTTTTCTTTGGAATATGGCAAGTTCTCAATTAAAAGATAGACTCGTATTCCCCATTGCCTTGCCTCTCAAAGTCTGCATCAGCATCACCTGAGAGTTGATTAGAAATGCAAAATCTCAGTTCCTATCCAAACCCACTGAGTCAGAACCACTATTTTATAACAAATCTCCTGGAGATCCATATGCACATTAAAGTATAAGAAGTACTGCCCAATAGGGCTTAAAAATACCACTTCCCTTCCCTCCAGACCCCTGCTCCCTGGGAAATTCATCTCCTCTTTCATTAATTTTTCCCAAATCACATTATTCAGAAACCCAAAATGGGGCACCCATCTGTGGAACCCCTTTACATTAGACTGCCCCCAGATTTCCTAACACTTTAAAACCTATGATAGGGATTTTTGGTAAAGTGAAATGCGATAATTCAAGTAAAGTTCTTAGCTCATTATCTGGGCACAGGAAGAATTCAATGAAGGATAACTGTTTTAATTATAGTGTCCTTAAGTATTAGCTATGAGATTCAGTTCTGAGCAAGCCAGGGCGAGTAGCCTGAGAGGCTTACGTTTAAAAGAGCTCACTGTCCAGTACAGTAGCCACTAGCCACAATTGACTCTTTACATTTATTATTATTATTTCTTACTTATTTATTTTTGAGACAGGGTCTTGCTCTGTTGCCCAGGCTAGAGTGGAGTTGCACAATCTTGGCTTACTGCAACCTCTGCCTCTCGGGTTCAAGAGATTCTTGTACCTTTGCCTCTGGAGTAGCTGGGGCTACAGGCGTGCGTCACCATGCCCGGCTAATTTTTGTATTTTTAGTAGAGACAGGTTTTACCATGTCGGTGAGGCTGGTCTCAAACTCCTGGCCTCAAACAATCCATCCGCCTCGGCCTTCCAAAGTGCTGGGATTATAGGTGTGAGCCACCACATCTAGCCTAATTTAAATTTAATAAATTACAGCCTAGTTCTGTCAATAAAAAGAAAAATAGGCTGGGAGGCCAAGATGGGCGGATTACCTGAGCTCAGGAGTTCAAGACCAGCATGGCTAACAGGGTGAAACCCCATCTTTACTAAAAATACAAAAAATAGCCGGGCATGGCAGTGTGCACCTGTAATCCCAGCTACTCAGGAGGCTGAGGCAGGAGAATTGCTTGAACCCGGGAGGTAGAGGTTGCAGTGAGCCAGGATGGTGCCATTGCACTCCAGCCTGGGCGACAGAGCAAGACTCCATCTCAAAAAAACAAAAATAAATAAATAAAAATAAAAAATAAAAAAATAAAAAGTTAATGGTGTAGTCCCTCAGTTGCACCAGCCACATTTCAAGTGCTCTGTTGTCACATGGGGCTGGTAGCAACCATACTGGACCTCCCAGATCTAGAACCTTTCCATCATCACAGCCTATGGACAGTCCTGGTCTAGAGGGCCTGTGGAATGTACAGCGGCCACCTGAGGAATGCATTCTGCTTGGGTTGCAGGCTGAGAAGAAGGGCTTTCTTAAAGGCAAAAGTTCATATAACTTTTGCTAACAGTGGGGGATGGGGGGAGGGTTGATGATCCCCACCCTCAGAAATAAAACCACAACAAGGACTTCCAGTAACTCTATGTAAAAGACTCAGACAGATACAGAAAAGAGGCCCCAACATAAAGAATTTCTAAACTTTATTCTTTTTGTTATCGTCTGTCCTCTGGTAGTGATCAGTGGTCAGTCTTTGGAAAGAAAGGACCTATGAACTCAACTTTAGTTATAGCAAAGAAATGAGCAGGAGAGGGAGGGAATGGCCAGCAGCCATTGAAGAGGGAGAGCAGGCTGGGCCCAAGGGGCACCCAGTATTGGCAGAAAGGAAAGCTCAGGGTGTCAAGTGAGCCTGAGAAGGGATCATCTGGCTGAACAAGAGAGGTCCACATGCAGCTCTCAGCACACACTTGTGCATTCCAGCCTCAGCATTTGCTCACACCAGTTCCCCGCCTAAAATGCCTGACATTCTCCCTCTCTACTTAACTCATGTAATAAATTTTTACTGAATGCCTGTAAGTGCCAGATATTCTGAACAGAGTTGGTCACAGATAAAGGTGTGTTGTAGAGTCATTAAAATGGTCAAGTATTTGACTGGATCTCCATTTGGAAAAAAAAAGAAGAAAAAGTCCTATCTTAACACTATACAGAAAAATTAATTATAAGATGATTTTATAAATATACAAATAAGACTATAAAAATACTAGAAAAATGATCTTAGTTCCACCATATAAAAATAAATACTAGAAAAAACAGAAAACATTGTGATCTGAGGTAGTAAAGACCGTCTTAAATCAGACAAAACCAAAAAGCAGTGAAAGACTGATAATTTGGACTTCATCAAAATTTAGAACTTCTCTTTAACAAAGAATATCACCAAACTTAAGCAACATAATACTAATTTTTTTCTTAAAATATATTCTGAAGAAAACAATTACAACATATAAAATTAAGAACTAATGCTCAGCTCGGGGCAGTGGTTCACGCCTGTAATCCTAGCACCTTAGGAGGCCGAGGTGGGCAGACCACTTGAGGTCAGGAGTTCTGGACCAGCCTGGCCAACATGGTGAAACCCCATCTCTACCAAGAAATATAAAAATTAGCTGGGCATGGTGGCACGCACCTGTAGTCCTAGCTACTTATAGCTATTGTATAAGGTAATCTTGTACAATATTTTAAATACTTTTGTGCATGAAACAAATTTTTGACTATGATCCATCACATGAGGTCAGGTGTGGAATTTTCCACTTCTAATGTCACGTTAGTGCTCAAAAAGTTTCATATTTTGGAGCATTTGGGATTTCGTATTAGGGATGCTCAGGCTGCACTGCAGTTTTGGTTTTTCTTTTTCTTTCTTTTTTTTTTGAGATGGTGTCTCACTCTGTCACCCAGGCTGGAGTACAGTGGCGCGCCATCATAGCTCACTGCAGCCTCAAACTCCTGGGCTCAAGTAATCCTCCCACCTCAGCCTCCTGAGTAGCTAGGACTACAGGCTTGCACCACCACACCTGGCTAATTTTTTTTTTTGGAAAGACAGGATCTCACCAAGTTGCCCAGGCTGGTCTCGAACTCCTGAGCTAGAGCTATCTGCCCTCCTTGGCCTCCCAAAGTGCTGGGATTACAGGAGTGAGCCACCGTGCTGGGCTGTTTTCATTTTTTAATACAAGGTGGTTTTACATGAACTAAGAAGGAAAAGTTTTCAAGACATAATTTCCTAGAACATTTAAAATATAGTATGATTTCATTTGGGAAAAAGAAAACCTCCCAAAATTAGATGGGCAAGGCAAAGGCCCTGATGGACACACATCAAACTGATAAGGAAGTGACCTCTGGAAAGAGGAGTGGAATTGGGGGTGGGTGTTGTCAAGAGGGGCTTTCACTTTATCTGTCTGGTGTGAAAGTTTTCACAAGGAGAGTGTAATATGTTACTTGTGTAAACCAAATGAAATGAAATATGGGAAGCTTGATTGGATCACCTTTTTTTAAGCTACAGAAGTTACTTTTGGGACAACTGGGGAGGTTTGAAAATGTACTATATGTTACATAATATTGTGGTTACATAGGATATTCTTATTTTTAGGAATTCCTCGCCGAAATACTTAGGGGTAAAGTGTCAAGAAGTCTGCAACTTTCAAATGGGAAAGAAAAGAAGAAAGGGTAAAGGAAGGAAGATGGGAAGGAAGGATGAAAAATAGGAAGGGAAGGATGGAGGGAGGGAAGAGGAGCAGGAGGGAGGAGGAGAGGCAATGGAAATGGATGAGGAGGCAAGAAGGGAAAGAAAAAAACCAATGTCAAGGCAAAGAAATAAAACAAGAATGTTAATCACTGGTGAATCTAAGTGAAGATATATGGGTGTTCAAGGTATTATTCTAACTTTTTTGCAGGTTTGAAATTAAAAAAAAGAAAAACATTACTATCCCTCACCTCGGATTTCCCCCTTGTACTTTTCTGACACTTGGCAGTGTCACTCATATTACTAGTGATGACCTCTGAGAATGTCTTACTTCCCATGAGCTCGTGAAAGGAGACACCTTTCAATTCTTTGCCCCGCTCTCTGCAGCGAGCATGCTGCCCAGCGCAGAGCAGGCAGTGGCAAATACGGGTAAGAAATGAGTCCATGTAGGCTGGAAGATGCAAGGCATTCACCTGCGAGGCCGGCAAATACGAAGTCAAGGCCTGGAATTGCGCTATCAGTTCTGATGAGGTGCATGACAGGCGTGTCTCCTGGCTGCTTGGCCTGGTCCCAGCAGAGAGTTACTCAGGCCTGGAGCCAGGTCTTTCTAGGGGGACTACTGAATGGAACTGTAGTCTGAAAGTGCTGTTACAAACTGCCTGAGTAGTTTTCAGATTGATACTTTGTACATTACAAAGTGATAGAAAAGTACAGTGCTCCTACAACCCTTTCTCTTTTGATTTTTACAGTGACTCTGAGAGATAGGTATTACAGTATTTCCATTTGACAGATGAGGACACATGCTCAGAGAAGGAAAGTGACCACTCCAAGGTCACACACAGAGGAACTGGGCTCAATCTCATGTCTTCAAGACTAAAGATCTTTCCACTAGACCATGCTGTCTTCTTTGAGCTCTGACTCCTAACCTAATAGCAGAAAGACACACTTACCTGATTCAGTCTTTGGACTACATCTCCCCACACTGTGAGATCACCACAGGCAGCTTGGGCTTATTGTTGGGGCCTGTGGGAACATTCTAGGAAAAAAAGCACAATGGACATTCATCCACTCAGGCACTTCCTCATTCCCTTATCAAACTTTTACTGATGCCTGCCAGCCCCTGTGCTAAGGACTCAGCACTCAGAAACTGTCCATGTCCTGGCAGACAGGTATCAAAGAGAAAATGCAAAACACTTAGAAAACATCAAACCTATGATAATATAACAAAAAGTTATGAGAGAGTTGGATAAGGGGTAGACGGGTAACTAAATTGCTGCTTAAAGACGTCAGGGAAGGATTCACAAAAGAGGGTTATTTGAACTGTGCCTAGAAGGATGAATGGGATTCCACCAGGAGGGAAGGAAAGAAGAGCATTCCAGCTACAGGAAACAGTGTGAACAAAGGCTCAGGAGCAGGAAAGAGCAAGGGGCAGAGATGTGTATGGTAGATTTAGGGAAGAGCTAGTAGCCTGATGTGACTGGAACATGAAAGAGGCAGTGGCAGGAGAAGGGGCCATGGAGAAGTAGACAGGGACTAATCATGAAGGACCTTGAATGCAATGCTGAGGAGTAGAATTTTATCAAGTAGGCAACAGGGTCGTCAGGGGCCAAACCTCAGTGTTGACCAGACAGGCTAACTTAGGTGGTCTCTCCTCCCTTTTCCTGAAGCAATGAAGACTGGGCCTAACAAACTGGAGCTCATTCCCCCTTCTCTAGCTCCTGGACGCTAGTCAGACAGTACCAGACCAGAATGGGAGAGAAAGAGAAAAATCAAAGCAGTACTTACCTCAATCTTTCTCATCACTAGAAGTCCATCGATGATTTTTCCTGTAGGAAGAGTGTGAGCTGGACTTTATTCTTGTTTACATAGCGTTTTCCAGCTTCCAAAGCCCATTCTTAGCTATTATGTCATTAGATTCCCTTACTAACTTTAGGAAATTAAGATGCGGTAGAGGTGAAATGACTTGCTCAAGGTCATAGGTAATAAGTAGAGTTAGGGCTCACACTTATATCTGAGTGACTGCAAAGTCTCACCATATCATGCTGCCTGTATGGCATTTCTTTGGTGCTAGCTACTGGGTTTTCCCCCTGAGTGGTTCCATACTATATCAAATGGCCCTTTTGTCCTTCCCTCTAGTTCTCTAGCCAAACATGTTCCCCACCTCCCCACCATTTCTGTTTTCTCTGTTACCACCTAAGCAGTTATCCAAGTTGAGCATGCTTGGTAAGAGTCTGAGAACTAACTCCTCTGGAGGTTCCATTCGCGGTGAATGGGGCCTGGACCATGGGACATGAGTAGGACTTACCAAACACCACATGCTTCCCATCCAGCCAATCGCACTTAGAGCAGGTGATAAAGAACTGACAGCCATTTGTACTTGGACCACTATTTGCCTGATGGAAACCAAATATACCTGCAGTAAGTTTCCTTGGCCATGTCACCTGATGGGTAAGATTCCCAAAAGAGCTTGTAACCCTAATCCCTCCATGTTTTTTTCAGTAAATCTAACTTAGCACCTATTATGAGCCAGGGCCTAAGCTAGGATCCAAGGATACAGAGATGAACAGGATATGGCTCACTGCGGACTCAAATTCCTGGGCTCAAGCAATCCTCCCACCTCAGCCTCCCTAGTAGGTGGGACTCCAGGTGTGTGTCACCATACCTGGCTAATTTTTTTTTTGTTTTTTTAGTAGAGACTTAAGTTTCACTATGTTACCCATACTGGTTTCAAACTCCTGACCTCAACCTCAAGCAATCCTCTTGCCTTGGCCTCCCAAAGTGCTGGGATTACAGGTGTGAGCCACCAGGCCCAGCTATGAATATGTCTTGAAAGCACAGCTTTTTACATTCTGAGCAGTAGGGCTGAATGCCTAGACACAAACCCTGGTTCATATTTTAGTTCCCCAGCCTGCTAGCCTGCTAGAGGGTCTTACCTACTGGTTTTCTTTTCTTTCTTTTCTTTTTTTTGAGACGGAGTTTCGCTCTTGTTGCCCAGGCTGGAGTGCAGTGGCGCGATCTTGGCTCACTGCAATCTCCCCTTCCTGGGTTCAAGTGATTCTCCTACCTCAGCCTCCCGAGTAGCTGGGATTACAGGCACCCACCACCACACCTGGCTAATTTTTTGTATTTTTAGTAGAGATGGGTTTCACCATGTTGGCCAGGCTGGTCTCGAACTCCTGACCTCAGGTTATCCACCCGCCTCAGCCTCCCAAAGTGCTAGGATTACAGGCGTGATACAGGCTCACACCTGTAATCCACCATGTACCTACTGGTTTTCTCAATCAAACCAGACTGAGAAAAGAGGTGGTAAAGGTGAGTCCTGGGGCAAGCAAGAGAAAGAAAGCATTTGCTTTCATCATGCCAAAACACAGCATTGGGCCTCAAGAGGGGCCCAGAAACCAGCTGGCTGTAACGCAAAACCTTGATTGGACCTCACTTACCATGGAAAGCAGGCCTGGAGCTGAGTGTCTAAGTTTAAAATTTTCATCTGCAAATGGCCCCCGGTAAATACTGGCGACTCCAGTACCATCTCCCTGAGCAGACAGAAGGGAAATATTAGTGACTTGGAGTGTTGGGTCCCTGGAAACCAGAGGAAGAACACTGTCGCACCTAAAGCCTGACATCTTTAAAGTCTACTCTTACTCTTGTTGGTCATCTTGGAAGCTGCACCTATTTGACCCCACCCTGCCATCAGAGCAAGCCTTATACAAGGTACCTACAGCCCACAAAAACTGGCTGGAGCATTTTATAGACTGGATAAAACAGGTCACAGCTGGGCCCCTAGAAAGATCAATTAAGATGCAGACAAAGTAGGGAATAGCAACAAGGTGATCACATACTCAATCGTTGCCATTCCCGAAGACTGTCATGCCTGCAGTCATATAAAAGTACCCACTTAAGTGACTACCACCCATTCCTCCAAACTATCTAAGAGGGTGGGTGAGCTCTTGGCAGTCTGTATGTACAACATGATACCACCCTCCTGATCATAGTTGATTGATCCAGGGGAGGATGCCTAACTCACACTGGGCCAACTAGAGTTCCTTCTCCAGGAATCTGGAGGTGGGATAGATGCTGTCTTTGAGGCTAAATTTGAATCATGTAAACCTGGAAGCTGGATGTGACTACCATTTGCAAGGTGGGCTAGAGAACAGAAAGAGAACACAACACAGATGTGTAGCAAGCACTAGAGAAACAGAGATAAAGAACTGCCTTGGTTCTCTATGGTTCTAGTTCCTAGTTCTATTTCTTCCTTTAGTTCCATGAAACACTCCCTTTATTATAAACTTCCAATTTCTGCTTAAACTAGCTTTATTTGCATTATTTCTTTGCTCTTCCAGCAACCTTGAGGAATAAGCATTATCACCTTCCCCATTTTTCGTGTGAGGAAACTAAAGTCTGGGTAATAACACAATTTGACCAAGGCCATATTTGCAGTGCCTTAAATAGAATCCCTGAGTTTTAAAGGCAATATTGAGGACTGCCAAAAAGATCAAGCTCTCCTGGTCAGTTAGTAAAGAGAAAGAGTGCATGGGAGAAAGGGAAAACATTGACCTGGTGTAGAATCAACAGTGAGTGAAGAGAAAGGGTGCATGGGAGAAAGGGGAAACACTGACCTGGTGTATAATCAAGGGTCCCTTTTTGGGACAAGGACTATCATTAAGATAAGCCAGAGAATACAGAAAAACTGTCCAAATTCAAACCTTTATTTGGCTAAATATTAGCAAATAAAATCAAGTCTGTATATTAGAAAGGCCTGGCCTGGCGCGGTGGCTCACACCTGTAATCCCATCACTTTGGGAGGCTGAGATGGGTGGATCACCTGAGGTCAGGAGTTTGAGACCAGCCTGGCCAACATGGTGAGACCCCATCTCTATTAAAAATATGAAAATTAGTCATGTGCGGTGGTGGCGCCTGTAATCCCAGCTACTCGGGAGGCGGAGGCACGAGAATCACTCAAACCCACCCGGGAGGTGGAGGTTACAGTGAGCCAAGATTGAACCACTGCACTCCAGCCTGGGCGACAGAGCGAGACTCCATCTCAAAAAAAAAAAAAAAAGACCTGGATTTGGGTTCCTGATCTATCACTTAGAGCTGGGAAAGTCACTTCCTATCTGTGAGCCTCAATTTCCTCATCTATCAAGTGAGGGGGAAATTACCTACTCTTTACAGTTATCATGAAGATTCAATTAGATAGTGTCTGTAAAAAACATTTTGCAAATAATACAGCACTATATAAATAATCAAATAAGCTATTATGTCATTAACTAACTCCACATACTTATTAATACAGAAGGAAGAGAGAAAACAAGTTCATCTCCAATTTCCCAGTGAACCTCAGGGACACATCAGTTACTACCATTCTCTGTAATCACATTATCTATAGTTCTCCAGAAACAATAGGCAAAATTACAAAATTAATAATTTGAAGCAAACAATAGAAAGCAACTAATCTTCCAACTACAGTGAATTGATCAAATAACTTGTCATTCATAATGAAATATTAGGTGGCTATTAGAAAGTATGTTTTAGAAGACATAATGACAAGGGAAAGTATGGACAATTATGAAGTACAAAAAAAGTAAAACATACAGATTATTTTAAGTCTGTTAAAAATTATATAAACACACATATACATACTAAGGTAAGGCTGACAACTGTAAACCAAAATGCCAATAGTATATTGTGAGGTGAGATTGAGGGTGATTCATCTGGTGATTTATTTTCTTCTTTGCACTTTTCTTTTACAAACAAAATAATAAATACTATTAAAACCAAAAATAAATGAACAAAACAAATATTCTTGGTCCAACTTTGGAAGGTCTCAAATTCTGATTTTTCTGGCGCTTGCTCATTCCATTTTGCCTTCCCCAAGGAAGGTTCTAAGCAAGCTTTTTTTTTTTTTTCCTTTAGACAAGGTCTCACTCTGTCCTCCAGGCTGGAGTGCAGTGGCATGAACATGGCTCACTGCAGCCTTGAATTGACCTCCTGGGCTCAAGGGATCCTCCTACCTCAGCCTCCCAAGTACCTGGGACTACAGGCGCACACCACCAAAAATAAGAAAATAAAAATAACTTTTTTTTATTTTTGTAGAGACAGGGTCTTACTATGTTGCCAGGCTGGTCTCAAACTCCTGGGATCAAGCAGTCCTTCCAGCATCCCAAAGTACTGGGATTACAGATGTGAGCCCTGCCACCAATTGCTTTTAACTCACCCTTCAGAATGAGCAACTATTGTCTAACCCCAGAGTTATCAACAAGTGATCAGATGTGCCTGGGGCAAAGACTAGTAAAAAGCTATTCCTCTCCTTGGGCAACAGGGGAGCCTAGGGGAAAAGAAAGGAAAGAAGGCAGAGAGGATAGCTTCTCCGCCCTTCTTACCAGCTAACAAACCCCACTACTATTATTTGTTTCCAGGGGTTGCAAACAAATGCCTACAGGAGCAGGCAACCTAAATAAGGGAAACAGTTGTGGAGACTGGTGAAATGGCAAAGATATGCCATGTCCAGAGGGACCAGTTCCTTTATTCCAACCAATTGTCACTGTCACTGCTACTGTGAGAAATGCAGGCCCAGCATACTTCCACTTTCCATTTTTTAAAGAGAAAACAAAACTAGGATTTTTTTTTGTGTCATTTCACAGTTACACAACACCATGCAGATGAAACAAAACATAGGTAAAAGCATAAATCAGCCTAAAACCTGCCACTCTGCAACCCTATATTGCATAGGAAAGGAAAGAGGTCTTAAAAACTCATGAGAGCCGGACTAAATAAACATATAAAAGAGAACAAATGTCTCCCAGATCCAAGAAAATAGCAACACAACTAACCAAATGATATTAATAAGAGTAAAGAAAGACCATGCACAGAAGTGGGTGGGTAAGGACGAAAGCAGGTTTAAGAAAGAAAAACTGTAGTTTATCCCACACCCTCCAAGGTTGGGGTGGGGAGGGAGGCTTCATTTGGGGGAAAAAAACAGTCTACTTACAAGAAAGTTATGGTTAGCAAAAAAGAACTATTTCACTGGGCCCTCCCAGTGCATAGCGCAAAATTCCTCCAGAACTATCTACCTATCTCGCTCTGATTCCTTGCCCACAAATCAACTTCTTATGAAAAACTCAGCTTTCCAGGCACTGTGACACCAGAAGTAAAAGAGAAAATGAGACAGGCATTTAGTCCACTAGAAGGAGATTACTTCCGTTCAGAAAAAAACAAAAACAAAAACAAACCACAGCTGATTTCTGACTAAGTTTCATATGACTAATTAGTGTGAACCTATCATAGATCATCTACAGGGTATTCTTAAAAAGTCCAATTTCTGGCTCAAAAAGGCTGAGATTTGGACCATGGAAGTTAATGCCTCAATCAAAGTGCTAAAGTCTGTTATCTACAGTCAGTTGTACCTAGCCACTTTCAAGAACTTCCCCATCACCATTCTCTCCAACACCCCCATCAAACCTGGCTATTGTTCTCAAGCCTTAAGACTGGGTCTCTGTAGTAAAAACAGCAATTGCAACAATAATAAAAACTAAAACTACAGGTCTTTGATAGAAAAGGAATAGTACTTACATTAACAAAATCTCCACCTTGAATCATGAAATCCTTTATGACCCTGAAACAGAGAGCAAAGAATACTGAGAGAAGATTTTATGGAGACTTTGTTATTATTGTATTAGATTAACATTGATTTCAAAATACACTATAACTTTGGCTATTATAAAATCACCATTCTTAGCTGGGTGCGGTGACTCACGCCTGTAATCCCAGCAGTTTGGGAGGCTGAGGCAGGCAGATCACATGAGGCCAGGAGTTTGAGACCAGCCTGGCCAACATGGCAAAACCCCATCTCTACTAAAAATACAAAAATTAGCCAGGCGTGGTGGCACATGCCTGCATTCCCGGCTACTTGGGAGGCTGAGGCAAAAGAATTGCTTGAACCCAGAAGGCGGAGGTTGCAGTGAGCCAAGATCATGCCACTGCACTCTAGCCTGGGTGACAGAGCGGGACTCTGTCTCAAAAAAAAACCAAAAACCAAAACAACAAAAAAAGATTATTCTTTTCCTGGAATGATTAAGCTGAAAGGATAATTAACCATAAAAAAGGATTTTAGTTATAAATTAGAGCATGTTAGAGTTGATCAAGTGCATGATCTGGTACCTGAACACTAACAAGAAGAAGGGGCTGAAAGCCTGCAGGAAGAATGACCACATTACTTGCCAAAGCAAAAGGCAGATCAAGGATTTGATGTAAATTTGGGGGAAAGAACTACAGAGAATTTATGTGAAAGGTACTGCTACACATGTAAGGGCTTAACAATTGTTAGCTATTACCCCTAGGGAGGGTCCTTAACCTTTGTTATCCTCAGTTTCCTCCTCTGTAGAATGCAGATCACACATACCACTTCACAGGAGTCTTACTGGGGATTAGAGACCCACAGTTCTAAAGCTGTGATATAATTATGTGCTAACATTGTTACTAACCACAGTGAGGCCATGAGAAAGATTCTATATTGAAATGAGACTAAGTGTTGCCATACTCCACTCCCCAGGAAATATGATTATCCTTGGACAATCATATATGATCATTTTAGGAATTAGTTATAAATAGCAACCAGCAGGATATATTATGTGCACTTTAGGATTACAAGTGTACTTCTTTAAAAATCTGCATTTGCACAAACAAGTGCATGAAAAAGACAGGATATTGTAAAGATGAGTAGTTTCTGTTTTAAAGACATAAGAAGTGGGAGAGTATAAGTAGAGTTAGAATATTTAATAAATCTTCAGTTATTGAGTCCACAAAAACATTTCTTCTCAAGAAATGTAAGAATTACCTCTGGTTTGATTTTCCTCTAAAGAGCCTAATCCCCCAGGAAATATTTCTGAAAGACTCTAGGATGGCTTGCCAAAAGCCTTACCTGTGGAAGGTGCTTCCTTTGTATCCTATTGGAACCCCATCTTTTCTATAACAAAAAGAAAGAGACTTGGAGTGATAGCAGGTAGCACAAGGCCTTTCCAGTTTACCATGCACTGTAGCCAAAAGGACTCTCCTAAAGATGGTTGACAGACATAAAGAAGGCAAATAAACTAGGGACAGACCCTTGGGGCATTACCTTCTATCACTGTCACCAGCAATCATTCAAGGCCAGCAGCTGGTTCACCGATACCCTCACCGCAGCCCCAGAACACCCTTCTGGAGCAGGCAAAGAAGTCAAACACATCTGAAACTGACCTGAATTCTCCGGTGCAGAACTGCCTGAAAGGGACAAAAAGTGAACGATTCAATCACTATGACATCACAGTCGTGACCGCCTCTAAAGACGGGAAAGAATAAACAATGGAGCCAGCACGTCCACCAATCGGCCAGCCAGACGTCCAAACACGGAGACATACAGACTAACAACGTAAATTAACACGGGAACAATCCAAACGGCAACCAGACAGAGCAATGCACGGAGGAATCAGGTCTCAAGAGCAGTGAGCGGACGGACAGAGGTAGACAGGCTATTCAGGCGGCTGACTAGAGCCCGACTTCTGCCTCAGCTAATCCAGCGGAACTGGAGCACGTCCTTACCTAAAGTTCTCGGCCGTCTTAGGCACAACGTCTGCAAAGAGCTCGATCTTCATGCGGCCAACTTCCTGCAATCAGCGGGAGACTGTCAGAAGGCCCAGTCCAAGACCATGAGGGCTTCACGGAGCTGGGGGCAGGATGGGCTGACCCACCACCCTGCCGCTCGGTATCACCCACCTCCGCCTCCCTGGTCTAACCGCCCAGTTCCTCCAGAAGCGGGGCGCTAGGATTGGGGAGACTTCTCCTCCTCATTTCTCCCCGCCCTGCAGGTCGGTAGGTTCGGGTGCAATTTCGCTTTCTGGCTGGCTTCCCGAGTCAGCTCTCTCTGGGTGAGTTCTGCCTGCCTAGCTAGCCCCGAGCAGTTTCCCTTCGGCGCAGGTGTGGGTAGCGTCCTGGATCTCACCTGACCGCCAATGCTGACATCAAAGAACACCACGGGGTTAACAGGACTTGAATTTGCCACCGCCATGGCTCTGACCCGGAAACGGAAGTCGGGAGCGTGGGATTCCGGCGAACCTAAAGCCCTGTCCGCGGGTTTCGTCCGGGGAGCAGGCGCGGTGGACGCCGAGAGAGACCGGGCCCCGCCCCCGGAAGCTGTCGCCCCGTGCGATGTGTGCTGAGGCTGCTGGGGTCTAGCTGGGAGGCTCTCCCTGAGACGGGGGACGCGGGAGTGAGGAGGAGGAAAGCCTTGACATCTTTTTGGTTAAGGTCGATGGTCACCCCACTCACGTGGCTGTACTAAGGGCAGTACAAGTTGATCTTGCTCTAGCTAGGGCTTTTGGACTAGGCAGTCGCCAGGGTCCTCCTTATCGGCTCTTGCAACCAAGCCCTCTACGCCGCCACACGTGCTGTGTGCTTCTGCCCGCTAGTCTGTGAACACCGTGAAGGCAGGAACTCTGGTTTGTTCATCCTCAGCGTTTAGAACAGCTTGGCACGTAAAGGCTTGCTAAGTAAATATTTGTCCCTTCCTCTAAGTCAGGACAATAGATTATGTTTCCGTTCTGCCACAAGCTCCCAGTTTGGTCATTTCCAATTCATTTCCCACAGAGTAACTAGAGTTTTTTATTTTTTATTTTTAAAATACCTCTTGTGATTCCTATTTATTTTTAAAATAACTCCTGGCTTCCTATATTTAGAATAAAATCCAATTCTGTACATAGGAAGCCCTCCAGTGCCTTTATCTGGCTATCACCTACCTGACCTCATCTTGTACCACTTGCCCTTAGTTACTGTGCTCTGACCTGTCTGTTCCTCCAGGTCACTGAGATCCCTCCTTTCTTTAAGGCCTTGTAATAGCTGTTTCTTCTGTCTGAAATATTCCTTCCAGATCTTAATGTGGGTTGGGGGGGTGATGGTGGGGTTTGGTTGGGGTATGTGTGTGGGAAGTAATGCTCCTTGTAGTTCAGGGCTCACCCCAGATGTTACCTCCTCAGAGGCAACATTAGACCTAATCTAAAGTAGCCCTTGGTCACTCAGATCTCTGGTTTGTTTTCTTCATGCCACCCCCCATTTCACATTTGTATGGTATGTGTCTGCACCTCATTTCCTGCCACACACACATACATCTTCCTCCCTAATAGCATATAAACTCCATGAAAGTAGAGACTCTTCCAGTCCTGTTCGCAGCTGTAGCTGCAATGTCTCCTACTGAATAGCACATAGTAGGTAAATATAATAGATTCAATGAATTTAGTGAAAGAAGGGGAACTTGGGCAAGACTCATTAGCTATAACAGCATGCATTTAATACAATAGTTATTATTTCCTAGGTCCTTTGATCATCTTTTCTAGCTCTGTCGTCGGAGGAAGCAAGAATTACATATAAAAATCCAGTGTGTCTCAATTTAAAGGGTCATTTTTATTCCTGGTTACTGATCCTCTCCTCTTGGTCTCCTCCAAATGAAAAAGAAGAAAGGGGAAGAGGGAGAAAAGGAACAGCAGCAGTCATGCTTCAGTATAATTTTATACCAACTGTTTTAGAATAAATATTTAAAATTGATAATACCCAATGTTGATGAAGTTGTGAAAAAAATAGTACATTGATAAACTGCTAGTGAAAATAAATGATGATAGCTAGCATTTATTAAGCAGTTACTAAGTGCTAAATACTTCACATGCTTCGTTTCATTTGGTCCTCACAACCCTGTGGGATAGATAACTATTATTGTTCCCATTTTATGAATCAAGAAATTGAGGCTCAAGGAGGTTGAGTAACTTGACTATGAAAACAGTATGTTGACACACTTTTTTATTTATGTTATTATTTATTTATTATTATTATTTATTTTTTTTGAGACAGAGTCTCACTTTTTGCCAAGGCTGGAGTACAGTGGAGTGGTCTCAGCTCACTGCAACCTCCACCTCTCGGATTCAGGCGATTCTCATGCCTCAGCCTCCTGCATAGCAGGGACTACAGGTATGTACCACCACACGCGGCTAATTTTTGTATTTTTAGTAGAGACAGGGTTTTGCCATATTGGCCTGGCTGGTCTTGAACTCCTGGCCTCAAGTGATCCGCCCACCTCGGCCTCCTAAAATGCTGGGATTACCGGTGTGAGCCACTGCAACTGGCCAGGCAGAACCCTTTTTTAAAGCAAGGAAGTGATGTCCTAGAGCAATATTAACATTTATATCCTTTGACTCAGTCCAATCGTGTGAATTTGTTTTCTGGAATAATTCAAAAGAAGAACTACATGCACAAAGACCTTCAACACAGCATAATCTTAATTAGCAAAAAAGTAAAACCATAGAGGCTCATGCCTATAATCCTATCACCTTAGGAGGCTGAGGTGGGAGAATCACTTGAGCCCAGAAATTTGAGACCAGCTTGAGCAACAGAGTGAGACCTTGTCTTTACAAAAAGTTCAAAAATGAGCCAGGCATGGTAGCATGTGCCTGTACTTGGGGAGGATCACTTAAGCATGGGAGGCTGAGGCTGCTCAGTCACACCACTGCACTCCAGCCTGGGTGAGAGAGTGAGACCCTGTCTCAAAAAAAAAAAAAAAAAAAAAGTAAAAACAACATAAATGCCAAACAAGAGAACATGAGAACATATAATTTACAGAACATCCACATCCTCAGAGATAAGCAGTGCTGTCCCACCCTGACTGGTGACATGGATGTGAGTGTGGCTGATCTTTTCTGAAGAAGCAGTCCCACTACACTAAAGATGAGTTGGAGACTGTTCACCTACTTTGTACTCCTATTTGGAAATATTTAGGGGTAGTTTCTATGTAATGGGGTTTATGTGAACTCTCTTCTCATACTCCCTCCTCCAGGAAAAGCTCTTGGTATTTTCCTATCCACTTTTATTTTATTTTATTATTATTTTTTTGAGATGAATTCGTGCTCTGTCACCCAGGCTGGAGTGCAGTGGTGCAATCTCCGCTCACTGCAACCTCTGCCTCTCAGGTTCAAGTGATTCTCCTGCCTCAGCCTCCCCAGTAGCTGGGACTAGAAGTGCATGTACCACCACGTCTATAAGAGACAGGGCTGGCTTCCCGAGTCAGCTCTCTCTGGGTGAG